GGGTTCTAGTTCCTGTTGGGGCGCTGGATTCTGTCCCGGTTGCTCCTCTTCCAGTCTGGCTCTCTGCTGTGGCCCGGGAAGGCAGTGGAGGATGGCCCAAGTGCTTGGGCCCTGCACCCGTGTGGGAGACTAGGAGGAAACACCTGGCTCCTGGCCTCGGATCAGCGCAGCACGCCGGCTGTAGCGGCCATTTGGGGGGTGAACCAACGAAAAGAAGACCTTCCTCTCTTGTCTCTCTTCTCTCTCACTGTCTAACTCTGCCTGTCTAAAAAAAAATGTGTATGGCCTGTATAAGACCTGTATATATATCACATGTATATGTGTATATATGTTTGTACATACACATATGTACTGTGTGTTATGTGAATTTTTTCTTATAAGTTTTAAAAATATTCACATTGGTTTTTCAGTCTTCCTGATCGATGCCCAAAACTAGGTTGTATTTAGGTTTCCTCCTACTTTCTGTGTTTTCTGTCTTCTAAGAGTCACACTTTCTTTTTTTTTTTTAAATTTTTTAAAAAATTTATTTGACAGGTAGAGTTATAGACAGTGAGAGAGACAGAGAGAAAGGACTTCCTTCCATTGGCTCACCCCCCAAATGAATGCCACCACCGGCGCGCTGCGCCAATCTGAAGCCAGGAGCCAAGTGATTCTTCCTGGTCTCCCATGTGGGTGCAGGGGCCCAAGCACTTGGGCCATCCTCCACTGCCCTCCCAGGCCACAGCAGAGAGCTGGACTGGAAGAGGAGCAGGCGGGACTAGAACCGGCGCCATATGTGATACCAGTGCCTCAGGTGGAGGATTAACAAAGTGATCCACGGCGCCGGCCCCTCCTCTTTTTTAATGTTTCAAAATATTCATAGTTTTCTGAACAATGTGGGGCCAGTGCTGTAGTACAGTGGGTCAGGCTGCTGTCTGCAGTGCCAGTATCCCATACAGGCATCGAGCAAAGATGATCCACTTCCAATCTAACTCCTTTGTTAATGTTCCTAGGAATGCAGCAGAGGATGGCCCAAGTGCGTTGGGCCCCTGTACTCATGTGGGAGACCTCCTTCATCAGGAAATTAAGCTCCTGACTCCTGGCTCCTGGCTTTGGCCTGTCCCAGTCCTGGTCATTTAGGGAGTGAATCAGCAGATGGGAGATCTCTCTCTTCTCTTTCTGTCTCTCCCTTTCTTTCTGTAATCCCAACTTTCAAAAAATTTATAATGTTCTAAACAGTATGACTGTGCACATAATAATGACATTTTGGTTAACAGTGGAGTGCATATGAATCTATTGTTCTGTAGGGTTATATTGCCTAGTGACATGGTATTTGACTTAGTTTAAGTACACTCTATTATATTTGCCCAACAGGGAAACCACCCAATGATACATCTCTTAGAACTATCCCCACTGTTAGCAACACAGGACTGTTTATATGAGTAGAGAATGAAGAATATTACTTGTGTTTGTTTTTTTTTTTCTCTCCTGAAGAGTTTAAGTTCTTTCTCTAGCAGTTAAGACAAGGATGTGGTCATTCAGTTACCTCCTAGAGTTGAGTTGAACTGGAGGTGAACTATCAATAGTCCAACTTCCAGCTTCCTCAGCAATCACTGTTTTGATATTTTGGCACTTGAACTGCAAAGATATTGAAATATTTCAGATGTTTTTGTTTAGTACTTGCAAGGGCCCTGTGTATGTAACTAGTGAATTCACTCATTAGTTTTTGTAGTTTGGGGAACTTTTAAAATGAATTTCCCAGAATTTTATAGATAAACAATTGTGTTATCAGTGAGTTTAAATATTTTTTCTTTCTGCACGTCACCTTTTTTATTTATTGACTTTTGTCTTATGGTGGCTAAGGTTGCCAGTGAAATATCAATGAGAAAATCAGACCTCTTTGCCTTGGTTCTGAAAGAATTCAATATATCATAATTAAATGCTATAGAAGCTATAGATTTCTCAAGAGTGGTTTTTATCAGATGGGGAAAATATTTCTGGTTTGCCAAGAATTTTTATCAAGAATGGATGATGGATATTGGCACATACTTTTTTGTACCCATGGAAATAATATTCTGTTAATATATTGAATTACATTGATTTCCAAATGTCAGGTCAATTTTGCATTTCTAGCATAAACCACACTCTGTCATGATATATTTTCTTTTTATTGCTAGATTTGATTTGACAGTATTTCGTTAGGTTTTTTTCATGAATGTTTACGAGAAATAAAGATTCATAATTTTCTTTTTGAAATTATCTATGTCAGTTTGTGGCTCAGGGTAATTCTGCTCTCCTAAAAGGGAATGAAAAGCATTTCCTTTGATTTTTCCCTAAATTTGTAAAAGATTGTCATTACTTTTCACTAATGAGGTCATATGACCCTGCACTTTTCTTTTTTGAAAAATGCTTAATTATGAATTTATTTATTTAGGATTTTTTCAGATTTTCTGTTATAATTGGGTCAGGTTTTATAAGCTTCTCTTTCAAGCAATTCACTAGTTTTATCTGTTGAATTCATTGTCATACAATTGTTAATGATAGTCTATTATTGTCATCTTAATATCATTATAATCTAGATCATTTTCTGAATTGATAAATTGTATTGTCCATAGAATTTCTATTTCAATTACTTCTGCTGTTTATTTTTCCCTTCTACATTTTACTTTCATTTACTTTTCCTTTTCTGGTTTCTTGAGGTGGAAACTTAGATAAAAGATTTTAAACCCTTATTCTGTTGTATTATAACTACTTAAGAATACAAATTTATCTATAACCAGTACCTTATTTGCATACCACAGGTTTTGACTTTATGTGTTTTTGTTATCATTTTTTCTTAAGTATTATTTACATTTACTTGTGGTTTCTTTGAATATTTAGAAATATAATGTTTAATTTTCAACTATTGAGAATTATTTTATATATTATAGATTTATTTATATATCTATTATTTACATTATATATAATTGCCTTTGATTTCTAAATTGATTCACTATGGTCAGATACCTTATGTGTAACATTTCAATTTAAAATCTACCAATCTTGTAACCTAGCATATAATCCTTTTGTTGACCTTTGGTCACTGTGCACTTGAAAATATTATCTATTCTGTAATTACTCAGTGTCTTATAATTGTGAACTGTGATAATGATGCCAAAATTTATTTTTAAAATTTCTTTTTATTCTATTTTTATCTATTGGTCATTATATAAAGCATGCTGTAAAACCTGCAATCATGATCACATGTATGTTTTATCTTTTAATCCTGTCAGCTTTACTTTATGTGTTTTGAACCCCTACATGTATATACATACAAGTTTAGGGTTGTTATAGCTAGATCACTTTCTAATTTCTTTCTTTTTAAAATCATTTATGTATTTATTTATTTAAAAGGGGAAGAGAGAGAGAGAGAGAAATCTCCCATTTGCTGGTTTACTCCCTAAATGCCTGCACAACTAGGGCTAAACCAGGCAAAGCTGACAACCAAGAACTCAATCCAGGTGTCCTATATGGGTGGCAGGGATCCAACTACTTGAGCCATCATCTGCTGCCCCCCCTTTACTCCCCTACATCAGCCAGTTGGTAGGTAAGGGCTGCCCCCAGAAAGGGTGTGATCTTTGGTGTAGTGGCCCTTTTACTTGAGAGCAAGTCCTAGAAAGGAGCTCAGTGGAGAGCTGATGTTAGTAACACTCCTGGCAGTGATAGGAATGAGCTCTTAAGTCCCAGGGCTGTATGCCTGGATGCGCCGTACCATCGGTGTGCTTCTCTGTAGATCCTTGATAGTTGGTGTTGGTTGTAGAAACAGTCTTTTTTTGTTTTTGCTTTTCATTGAAGTGTTGAGTCTTTTGATATTTAGTGTAATTATCAATATTTTTAGGTTTGAGTGTATCGTCTCACTGTGTATTTTCTATTTATCATATATGTTCTTTGTTTTCCTCATTTCTTAAGAATGAGTCAATTTTTTACATTTAATTTTTCTCTTGTATTTTTGTTATACCAATTGGTATTTTTCTTAGTAAAAATTAACAGTAAGGATTACTTTATGCACCCTAAATTTGTGTCTTATTCACATTCAACCTGGCACTACATGCAAAAATAGAAGAAAATTTGAAAAGTTTAATTTCATCCTACCATCTTTTGTGGTTTTGCTGTCATTTGTTTTACTTCCATACCATATTATAATGTAGTTGTTTCTTGCTTCGGTAGGCTGTTGCTTCTTTTGTATTTACCTGTGTACTTGTGTTTGGTATTCTCCATTCTTTCCTGTAGACCTGAGTTTCCATCTGGTATCCTTTCTGTCAGCTGAAGATCCTCCGTCAGTATTTTTTTGTAGCTCAGGTCATTAGTGACAAATTCACTCAATTTAAAAAATCTGGTATGGGTCCTTTCTTTAATGAAAACATGCATGGCCACTTTGGGATATTGTGAATTTTTTTCTTGTTATCTTTTCAGAAGAGGGCCAGTCAGCCTTTCAAGAATCCTAGTGTTGTTAGAATCTCATCTCTAGAACACTCCCTGACACAAACATGAAGTCAGAGGCTTCTGTTTCTGAATGGTTGCTAAAAGTGTTACAACTCCAGCTCTCAGGCCCAGGGCTCAGTTTTCAGCCCCCTTGGGTCAGCGAGGTCAGCTAGAAGCTTCTCTTCTGGTTTGGAGTTTATTTCTGGCTGGTGATTTTTCCTCATTGGCAGCAGGGATGTGAAATTTGAGGAGTTAAACATTTTTATTATTTCAGTATATTTTACAGCAGAATTCATGGAGGAGGGAGAGTATCCATAACAACATAAAACTGCCGTGATGGCAGAATCCTTCTTCTTTACTTCATTATATGGAATAGTTGTAGGACTACAAACACAAATTTTGAGGCCTAACTGTAAAAGCTTTTATTTTGTTTGTTTGTAGCTGCTGATTCCAGTTTTTATGATTGTGAGATCACACGTGTATAACAATGATATTTGTAATTTATTAATGAACAATTGCTGAAATATTTACGTTTGCTCTACTGCTTCCTGTTCTAACAGGTCTATGGAAATGCAGGACCTAGCAAGTCCGCACACTCTTGTTGGAGGTAGTGATGCTCCTGGTAGCTCCAAGCTGGACAAATCTAACCTCAGCAGCACCTCAGTCACAACAAATGGCACAGGAGGTAAGTGCATCCCCACACAGATACCCAGACTGATGTGCCAGTGTTTGCTTTCTCACATGTGAGGGACCCGTTAATAAACTGATATCGTTTTGTCAATAACATAATCAGCGTTATATCCAAGGAATGTATTGTTTAAACAGTATGTATTGTTGCACTGATTTGCTTGAAATTTTTGTTCCTCTGCTATAGCTGGAGAAAGTCAGAGGGAATAAATAGTTTTGAGTAACATTTTGAAGGCCTTTAATTAGGCTTCCTTTTGGTATTTACCGCCGTAAATGTTCCCAAAACATTAGAATTGTGGACAGACTGACATTACATGTACATGTTATATATACATATACACTTTGGTTTTATTTTGAATTATAAGAAGTTTACCTAAAAGTTTTTATAAAAATGGTTTTTCTAAAAATCATTTTGTAAATACTTACCTACTCACATCTGCTGCATTTTATTTTCAAAGGGAATAATACTTAAGATTTGTTTATAAAATAATTTTATCTTTTCCAGATATTTTCTCATTTGATTAGCCCAAATTTTGCCAAAGCATGGGGCAACAATAAGTTATTATTTTAATGATTTTGCCTTGTTTTTTTTTTTATAAAATGCACCCAACTTATCAGAAATACACCCCCCCCCAATTTTTGTATCAGAATACAAGGGTACTTCTCAAAGTTCATGGGGAAATGGAATTAAAAGACAAGTTTTCAGGTAGGTGTTTGGCACACCAGTTAACATGCTGCTTGGGATGCACACATCTGTATCAGAATGTTGGGGTTCAAGTCCCAGCTTGGCTCATATTCCATTATCCTGTTAATGTGCACCCTGGGAGGCAGCAGTTGATGGCCAAGTAGTTGGGTCCCTGCCATCCATGTGGAAACCCAGACTGAGTTCCCAGCTGTGACTTCAACCTGGCCCACAGTAACTACTGTGGGCATTTGGGGAGTGAACCAGGGGAAGGGAGATCTATGTATCTATCTGCCTCTGTCTTAACTTTCAAATAACTTAAAAAAGAAGTAAAATTTTTTAAAGATAGGTTTTTATGGTGCAAAAAGATTTTTGATCCATGTATAGTTTTTAAATAACACCTATGTCCAAGAACTTTTTGTATGTTCCAGATATGCATGGATTTCAAAATGTTTTTGCACAAAATAAACTTACTTTTTAAAAAATAAACATATATTTTAATTCTGTTTCCATGAACTTTACAGATACCTTTATATGACCATATAAATGTATATATGTTATAGAAATTGAATTTTTAATTGTCCACAATCATTTTGAAGTATATGTCTAGTCAATTAGGTGAAATTTGTTTTAATTTACAAACTGTTCATATCACCAGATGTCAGCATTTGCCACATCATATTTTCTTTTGAATTTTAAATAAATATGAAATTGATACACCTCTTTCCATTTAATTTAATTTGTGCAGTCTAAAACTTTCTTTGTAAAGTTATGTGCATTGTAACTCACCTGTATTTAATAATATTTTACACCATACCCTTTGTAGATTAACATTTTCCTTGTTTATAATATTTATTTGTCTCTAAAATGCATCTTTAATTTCAGCTAATTAATTACAGAATTGCAAGTGTATATGAATATTTAGTGATGACTGGTGGAGTAGGAACATGTACATTTAAACCTTAAATTGTTTACAAGCAATAAGATTAAAAAACCCAAGCACTCTGGCATCAGAACTGAGGTTCACTAATTACTATGTACATATGTTTAACTGAACTAAAACAGACCTGATAAACTAAAATGTAAATGTCATACAATAAAATTATAGATTGGACTGGGAGGTCAGAAATGGGTGCAAGCATTGAAGATTAGTTCATGTACACTCAGCGGGCATTCAGACAATGAACTCTTATACTGTTCCTCTTCTCAGGGGACAACATGACTGTTTTAAATACAGCAGACTGGCTGCTGAGTTGCAACACCCCCTCTTCTGCAACAAGTATGAGCGATGATGGTACACTGCATGTGTTTGGGTGTGTGGATTTGCTCCTCTCTTTTGCTGCCTGTTGCTGTTCTATGTTTGCTTCCCTTCTCTGTGGTTAGTGCTTATTAAAAAAAGGAGAAATGGACATACCCTTCAGTTACTTGTTGGTAACAGTTAGCTATGGTTTTCTTATCAGTGGATATTCTAATCTTAGACTCCCTAGATTGGTAATATTCTTTCTTTAGATTTTTCATAATAGGTGCACACAATTGTTTGCTAGCTTCTTATTAGTTTATGGTGGCATTAATTCAGCCTAACAGTCATGTCCTTCAGAGTAGTGGAAGCAGAATGAGCACAGATACAAACTTAATCACCTTCACAACACACAGAATTTCATAACTTACGAATCTTTTAGCATATCGTATAGATATTTACTAAGTTACAGACTTTGATGAACATTCCAGAGTACCTAAAGCAACATTAATAGCCAATATCCTTTGAAAATTATCATCAATGAAAGCTATATGCTTGAAATTATAAATTAAGTGTCTCTAAATCTTTGAATTATAGGTATCAACTATATTCATGCACACACATACAAACAGACTTTCTCATAAATCAAATGCTAATAATGCTTTCAAAATTCAAAAAAAGAAAACCATAAAACTATCACACAACTATGGAACCATGCAATTTTAGGATTAAAAAAGAAGAGCTCAGGCCTATCAGAAATAGGTATTATAAGCAAACATTTAGAACAAAGTGGGCTGGAACATGTTTCTCAGATTAGATTGGAATATATGACCAGTGAATAAAGGGCACTTGGTCATGCTCATTGCTTCTAGTTTTATAATTTTAGTTTTAAATGTTTTTCAAATTCACTCTTAAAAATATACTTTTTTGTACTTAAAACTGTTCACATATTGACAAAATTTAGTGACTCTAGGTTCTAACAATGGAAGCTTTTCTGGTAAAGAGCCAGATAGTAAGTAATTTTGGCTGGGCAAGATTTTGGTGGGCCATGGCATGTCTGTCTCATCTGTTCAGTTCTGTCTTCATGATGCAGAAGCAAGCAATTCATATGCGAATAACTGTGGCTATATTCTAATAAAACTTTATTTATGGGCCCTCGAGTTTAGATTTCATATAATTTTATGTGTCACAAAATTTTCTAATTTTTATTTTTTTAATATTTAGTATTTAAAAAGCATTCTGACTGCCTCATGTGGACTTGGGCTTCAGGGACTTTGGGTCCAGGGCACCAGGGATCTAGATCTTAGAACTATGTTTATTAGCTGTGTTACGTGGAACAAGTTATTAACCTCTCTGAGCCTTCATTTCTATAGGAAGATAATAACAATTCCCTGACATTCAAAGCTTTTGTCTTTAATAAGATAAGGTATACAAATTGCTTGCCAGTACTTTCTGTACACACCAGAATATCCTTCTTCCTTTAATTAATAATTCAACAATAATTAGGCAAGAGTTTCACTTGATCTTAGCCAAAAGGCCAAGATGCGATAGGCAAGAGTTTCTTAAGGAAAATAAAAACGTGCATCATGTTAAAAGCCTCCCCAGTGTATGGTCAGATAACAAATTCCTTTGTTTTTACCAGTGTATATGCTGGGCCAAGGAAGGCAAACTTTTAATAGTAAATGTTAGGTGCATTTTGATTATTAATAATATAGTCCTTGTGGCATATTGATATGAAATTTTAATGAGTCTTAACGACTTTTTATGTTAAATATTTATGAAACAACTAAGCATTTGTTGCATAATCTCTCCCATTGAGGATAAACTATTTCATTTTTAATTCTGGTTTTATTATTGGAATTAGGTCACTCTGTAGAATACTTACAATAAAAAAAGCAAAAGTTAAAAATATATTTAATTAATGGATTTTCAAGATCTTTCCATTAACTTTGAGATATAAAAGATATAATTTTAATTAAAAGTTCTTTAGTAGTATAAATTGATACTGTCACTTGAAGATCCTATTATACCTTGGTGCTTGTTAAGTATGCTGCACTATTCCTTAAAGTGATTTAAAATGTTTCATCATCTTAATCCTAATTATATAATTTAATCTTCAGATTTATATTGGTCCTTAGGTTTCTCTTTCAAATTTTTATCACTTGTAAAAATATTAAAATTATTAAATTTAAAAGTAGACTAATTGCACCCATAATTTATCAAATAAATCTGTGGCCAGACTTCTAGTCCATATGATACCTGTAGGAAAAATTAATCCCCACTGAACAGATAATATGTAAAGAAATGAGTATAGGTGTGTTGGAGTAAAATGAGTTTTGGACACTAAAATGTGAATTTCATAATATATTAACATACAAATATTGTTCTTTTGACATTTTTCACCCATTTACAAAGTTAAAAAACGATTCTTAGCTCACGAACCATACAAGATCAGGCCATGGGTCAGGTTTGGCACACAGCCTGGTATTTACATAAAGTATGTAGGGCGTATAAATATGCGTGCCTATCATATAAAAAGTTATTTCCAGATATGGGTGATTTCAGATACTGATTTGCTTAATGGTCTAAAGATTCATGATTACTTACATTTTTATGCCAAAATATCTAGCTCTGTTGAGTACACTTAGGGCAAGGTCTTTAAAAAAAGTGATTTTTCACTTTTTCACTTAATTAAAAATATATCAAGCTTCTGTTATATACCAGGCTCTGTGCTACACAAGGGGAACTCAGTGATCTAAGGAACATGCTACTGGCCTTCTAGGGACTGAAAGTCAAGCAGAGTGAAACAGACAAGAAAATGACATGTACCATAGAGCATTTAAGGTAGATGCCTCGTGAAGGAAGGCAGTATTTGATTCTGCATGAGATTAAAGAAATACTTCAAAGACAAAGTTTAGGGAAATAAAATCAGACATTCTAGTCAAATTTATTGTGTTTTGTATATTTGGAGTTGATATTTCAAAGAATCTTCCAAAGATTTGAATATGTTAGATATTGATTCATATGATATTTTTATTTGTTTCTGACTAGTATTATTTGTTCAGTGGAACTACCTACT